TATCTAAACTTGAGACGGGTACCTTAATTTGAGATACTATTAAAAAAAGCCCTTTCCTTCGCAGAAAAGGCAAATAAATGTGCTGGACTTTATTTCTCAACAGTCTTTATGTGCCCACCTGTCACATTGGTAACACTTTGCCCATCGTTCGCTACAAAATAAACATTCCGTGTCGTTTTTTCCACTTTCGTTGGACGATGAATCAGCTAATATAAAGTCTTCACTGCTATCTGAACTTGAACTCGAAGAAACTTTCCGCTTCCTTTGTTGATGTTTTACCTTTTGATGTAGAAAGTTGACCTACGTCTTCATCTGCTATTTTCTCTTAGGGCGTTGCTGTTTTTTTTAATGTAACACCTTTTGTTGAACTGTTTTTTTTTTCTGGAGCAAATACACAATATAAGTTTAGCTGGGGTACTAGTCTTTTTGCTTTTTTCTTCTGCAAACTTTGCTCTATTCTTCTTTGTAGGGTGTTAGAGGAATTACTGAAGCCTTTCCTTATCTGGCATGTGGTTTTTTAGTGGTATCTCTCTTGTAGAATGTAGTGATTGGACAGATGTCTTTCAGAGAAACAAGTTGTTGGTAAGGTAGTGGTGGACTAGAAGTGTTATGTTCTCGCATTGGATAAAAAATGTCTGGAAAGTCTCTAAAAATATGGCGACATATAGGAACCAGTCCAGTTTTTCCGAAACCGTTGCAAGATATTTCCATCGTCGCAGCTTTGTTATACGCTTTACAAAAAATACTGGCAAGAGCATAAGGCGACACAACACTCAATTGATTTTCTCTAAGCCAGTTTTCCCAGTCGTTTTATATCACGCGCTCTTAGCCCGAAATAACGTTGCTTCATAAATGGCATACCCAACCAACTCATTTTGCATTTTGCGAAGCTGTTGGCCAGTAAACGGGAGATTGCTTATACCGGCAATCGCTCGGCGGAATTTTCGCCCTATCTGGCTACCCTCACCTAATTTAGCCTGCAGAACAACGCAGTTGCCCGGGCTGTGGCACGTGGAGCCATAAGTAAGAGTTAGTTGTCTTATGAGAACCAGTTGTCAAGAACCATCTCCCGTCTATGACGCTCAATGTGGTCGTTCCGATAAAAGGTGCTACCTCTATTATATCACAAATCTACACCCCCTGCTTCAATTATTTTTTTTTAATAGCTTGTTAGAAACAAAGCATAAAAGGATAAATCAGGATCAATGAGCCAGAAATTACAAAAAAACTCACTAGATATATAAAAAATTTAAAGCTGGCCAATTATATTTACCTTATACTTTAAATATATGTTTTAAACCGGATCTGATAATCGTTTAGAAAATATTTTACCTATGTCCGCCTTTGTTGTCAGTAAAATACCCTACTCATTTTCAAATACTACCGATTTCGACTTACGTAATCTCTTTGAATAAAAGCGGCATAAACGAAATTACTTTTGAATTCATTTCCTATTGGCTTTCACATCGTTTGAGATCTTTTAATATTATTTATATTTCAAAAACATATTTTTAAACTAAAATTTGTCACCTAGACATGACTGTTTTTTAATAGATTATACGAATACATGTAAAAAAACAGACAAATGAAATACGTACTGCAAGAAACATGGCCTTATAATAAATGTCATTTCCAAGAAATCTCTAATTATCGAAATAAGAGTTACTGCTATAACTGCGAAAAAGTTATTATCTAAAAATTGGATTTTCGAAATAGAATTTATTTCATAATTTATTATTGAAGAATATAACTGCTAATGCTTGGGATAATGTCAAAACAAAAATGTCAAATTCAAATTAGTATCGATCGGTACAATATGTGTTTATTATCGGTTCCGTTTAAATAATTTTTTTTATTTAAACACAAATCCACGTCAACATCGCAGAGTTATTAGTGGATATAACAAATACACGAAATATTACATTAAATACAATTGAATAACTTAATGTCTTTTAACTAGCTTAACACTGTTGACATTTTTTTGGTGAGAACTGTTTTGAGATCATCGTCTGTGAATCCGTGGGATTTTCTTTTTTCCATGAATTGAGGACAATCAAGCAGGATATGTTTGACAGTCAGTGGGTTACAGCAGCTGGAGTAGATAGAGTATGGCCAATTCTTGGTACACAATTTTTAGATGACATCTTCTACTGTTGAAGCGGGAAAAAGAAGAAAATATACGAAACAGGTCCAAAATCACAGCAACTGAAATGGATATATTTTACAAAGAAAATAATTTATGCATATCTTTAAAATTTTGTTTACTACAGGTAATCCAGGATAATGGACTTTCATTCGTCGAAATATCTTTTATAGTATATTAGTCGAATTATTTGAATTATTATATTTTGTACTTTGAAATATATTAAGCAAACCAATATTATTTTCAATTTTACATAGCATAACAATATGTATATACAGGGTGTCCCATAATTAATTGGACATTAGCTAATGGGTGATAGCTGACATTAAAGTAAAGCGTTTGAGCTCAAATTGGTTAGGCAAAATGTTGCTAGTTTTCGTTCTATAGGGTGATTCATTAATATTTTTTTATATTATTTTTAGGGATATATTGAAAACTATTTCACAGATTTAAGTAAAATTTGGTATCCTGCTATTATTTAGTATGCTTAATATGAAAATGATATTAGTTTTACCGATGACACTAGGTGGCGCCACCTACAGTAACATTGGTTCATTAATGGGGCCATAATTTTTTTGTCTGCCCTGTATAAACATTCTAGGAAAAAAAACATGAAATAACATTCAATTCTACACAAAAAAGGTATTCTTGTTTTAAATCAAAAAAGTACACCGTTTTCGAAATAAACGTATTTTTGAGAGACGTGCATAAAATAAAAAAAATTTTACAAAAACTTTTGTAAATTCAAACATTATTCAAAAGGTCTTAAATAAAAGTGAATATTAAATGTATTAGTAGTAGATAATTTTTGCAAACAAAATGCATATGATTGAAACAATTATTTTTATTAAACCTTTGACTCAGTAACAAATTTTAAAAAAATCAGAAATTAAATTAAACAATGAAGTGAATATAAAACAATTAACAAAGTGAATAATTAAAAACGAAACGAAAAAAAAAAATACAATAAGTGTTCAAAATGTGCACCATTAGATAAACTACATAATCTAAATATTTTGTGTAAGTTTTGTCTTATTTTAAATAATGAGTTTCTTTGGGCCCTAATTACGTTAACTCCCTCTACAATATTTTGCCATAACTCTTGACGGTTATTTATTTTTTTATATAAATAAGTGACTTTAGGTAGCCCCACAAGTGAAAGTCTAGGGGATTTAGTTCGGAACTGCGTGCTGGCCATGGGTATACACTACCTCTACCAATCCACCTTTGAGGATAAATTTCATCTAGATTATTTCTAACTTCTAGGCTATAATGTGGTGGTGCACCATCATGCATGCACCAAGAGTTTCGTCTCAAATTTAGAGGTAGGTCTTCTAAAAGAGTTGGTAAATCTTTTCTCTAAATCTCTAAATCTCTAATCTAAATTTAGATACGTTACTCCGTCAAGCCTGGTTGGTAATTCGAATGGTCCTACAATACAATCCCCAAATATGCCACACCAGATATAATAATGGAAAACTCGTGTTGAAAATGATGTTCTTGAAATGCATGAGGATTTTCTGTCGCGTAGGTATGGCTATTGCGCCAGTTAAATATACCTCTTCTAGTAAATGTGGCTTCATCGGTAAATAAAATTTTATTATAAAACATTGGATCGTCTAAATGCCGCCCCATCATAAACTGACTAAATCGGAGCCTTGCTGGAAAATCCTGTGGTAAAAGATTCTGTACTGGAGTAAAACGATACGGATACAGATTTTCTGTCCGTATTATTCTTGACACCGTAGATTTGCTTATACCATTGGCCGCAGAAACAAGCCTAGTACTGGTTTCTGGATCTTCTGCAACATGCACAACAATGTCATCCTCCATATCGGCATCAATTACTCTCGGTCTTCCAGCATTCCTGTTTTTGGGATGAAATGACCCTGTTTCGCCTAATCTGTCGAACAATGATCTAATAGTTTTATGGTTTGGTTGCCTTCTATTGGGATAAAGTTCGAAATAGAGTTCAGCTGCTTTACGAGAACAAACATTTTCCTGGGCATACAAACAGATCATATCGCGCATTTCTACATCAGAAAATTCACTATGACGTGGCATTTTTCCTTTATCTTAAGTGGTTTATAAAAAAACTTAATAGCACTTTGACAAATAATGACTTGGACTGCACTTTGACAACTAATAATAAATAAATTCGTAGTTACCTTTGACAACTAATAATAAATAAATTCGTAGTTACGTCTTGACGTTGTCATTAAGTTCAAAGCATACTTGTTTTGCAAAAAATTTAATAGAGACATGCATCATTAACAAAATACGTTTATTTAGAAAACGGTCTACTTTTTTTATTTGAAACCAGAATACCTTTTTTGTGTAGAGTTGAATGTTATTTCATGTTTTTTTTCCTATAATGTTTATATAGGGCGGACAAAAAAATTATGGCCCCATTAATGCACCAATGTTACAGTAGGTGGTGCCACCTAGTGTCAATGGTAAAACTAATATCATTTTATTTTTAAGCATACTAAATATTAGCAAGATAGCAAATTTCACTTAAATCGGTTGAATAGTTTTCAATATATCCATAAAAATAATACAAAAAAATATTAATGAATCTCCCTGTAAAACGAAAACTAGCAACATTCTTCCTAAGCAATTTGAGCTCAAACGCCTTATTTTGATGTCAGCTATCACCCATTAGCTAATGTCCAAATAATTATGGGACACCCTATATATATATATATATATATATATATATATATATATATATATTATCTTTCCTACTTTTCTCCCCATCACATATTTTTTCTCGATGATTAGCTACTTCCTCTTGTTTGAGCGAAAAAGATGTAATAAAGGGATATTGTAACAGTGTGTATTGAATATTTTCCAGTATGCGACTTTGGATTCCAATGCGACGTAAAGCGTTGCATTCCGAAAGACTGGCAATGTGACGGCCATGTGGACTGTAAAGATCAATCTGATGAATTGAAGTGTCACAAATGTGGTCCAGGTATGATCAATTGTGGAGCCGATAAATGTATCACACAGGAGCATCTGTGCGACGGAACAGTAGACTGCCCGTGGGGACAGGATGAGAGAAATTGCCGTAAGTCAATATAATTTTTCTTATACAGTAGATAATGTTTAAATATATATCTACACTGTTGATACTATTTATTTGATTGGAGAAAGTAACTACTTTTTTAAATCAATATTTAAATCAATATTATTTATTAGAGGTAATACTTTATTTACACATAAATTAAATACATCTAAAATTAGTTATTTTACACAACTTCTTTACTGTTTTTTAAACGATAAGTAGGGTAGAGGAGGTTAACTGGACATCTTTTGAAAAAAAAATTATATTTACTTAGTGTCTGGTTCAAAATAAGCCAATATTTATCCTGTGTTTCATTGTTATTTGACTAACCATTTAATACGGTCTTTGAAGTTCAATAAATATCTATTGGGACCGTGCAAGTTCGGAAGAGCGACACCTGGTGTCGTAAATCAGCAAAATTTACTGCGCTTTCATGTTAGATCGAGGTTACCTTATAACTGTCAAGGACGTAGCCCCAAAAAAGAATAAGAAAAAAAAGTAAGATTGAGGTTATGTCGGTATGTTATTAAAAGGTAAACGTTGTATGTAGTGTAAATACAAATAAATACATTATTAAATTACAACATTACTGTTAATATAGATGCAATAATAAAAACTGGATTTGAGAAAGTAAATCACCAAATAACTATTCAACAATTTTTTGTTGTATTTTTACAATTTATAACACAGCAATTACTAAATCCCATTTTCTTCAGTGACAGAAGGTGTAAATAAACAAACGAATATGAAATATGACAATTTGCCAATTGACAATATGAATTTATGAAATCTATGAAATGTGCAGTAAAAAATGCAAGATTTCTCCGCTACTCGCGCACAATCGTTTCTCGTATCACATCCAAGTACTTGCACGTCGCCAATAGGAATAGGAGGATGATTTTCGTAATAATCTGCAATTTTGACCAGTTAACCTACATAGTAGGTTAACTGGAACATGGAAGTGGGCTTACTGGACAGTATGATATACCAAAAAAAAAAGGTTAAGAAAATAGGAAATTTTTTTAACAACTCTTTATTGAACTAATATAAAGTAAAGTTAAATTCATCAAAGTCTATGTTAAAAGAAATCATGTTATCAAACCTAAAATATCAAACTGCTCGACGATAAGGGCAAACATTCTCTTCTAAGCCTCTTTAATAAAATATACGAAACAGGACATATACCAACAGACTGGCTACTGTCAATATTTGTAATGATACCGAAAAAAATAAATGCTAAAAGTGTAGCGATCATCGCACTATCAGTCTGATGACTCTGTACTAAAAATTTTCCTAAGAATACTGCACTCGAGAATTTATAACAAAATAGAAGTACAACTAAGTGAAACACAATTTGGTTTCAGAAACAACCGTGGAACCAGAGAAGCACTCTTCAGCTTGCAGGTCATGGTTCAAAGATGTAGGGATATAGAACAATCAGTATATATGTGTTTTATCGACTTCGAAAAGGCCTTTGACCGATGAAGAATCGTGGCCGAAGAAGCATCATGGTGGAGCGAGAGGATATTATTCATTGGCGCCATAATTATTTGAGAACTATACGACGTTTGCGAAAACACCATTGCAATATTATATATTTGGACGAATCGTGGGTTAATGTTGGCCATCTATAAATTACGAATGGTGCGATACTACGATACAAAACAGTCGTTATGCTTTTCTCAAAGGTTTAAGTACTGGCTTAAAAGCACCTACTAAACGAGGTCCACGATATGTTTTGTTGCATGCAGGTTTTTTAGGAGGTTTCCTTCCTGGCACACAGCGTATTTTTCTGACAAAGAAAAATGATAGCAACTATCACGATGAAATGGATGCCGCATATTTTGAGTCGTGGTTTAAGGAAACAATAATATTAAATTTACCAAATAATGGTCGCAGGAATGTCATTGTAATGGACAATGCATCGTACCACTCCCGTAAAGAGAGATTCCCTAACAATTCCTGGAATAAAGCTGAAATCAAGGAATGGCTAGTGGAAAAAGACATTTTTTTGAGGAGTGTTATTTGAAATCCGAGCTATTAGAAGCAGTGCGTGCTTTTAAAGATCAATACGATAAGTATCATCTTGATGAGTATGCTTCACAACATAATGTTTATATTTTAAGGCTTTCCCCATATTATTGCGAATTGAATCCTATAGAAATGGTGTGGAACCAAGTTAAGCGATATGTAGGTACCCATAATACCACTTTTAAAAACGACGACATACGCCAGTTGATCGACGACGGTTTCGTACGCGTCACAGAGCAAAATTGGCGCAATTATGTCACTCATGTTGTTCAGAAAACGGAAACTGAGATGTGGACTGCGGACAATCTGCAAGATGACGTAGACCAATTGATAATACACGCGAACACAGGGGAGAGTAGCGAAAGCGAATCCGACATCTCGGATGTAGAGGACGACTTTAGTATAATTAATTGAATATCTGTGAGTAACCTCAATTATTTAACACTGTATTACCAATCAAATGCATTTACCAGTCCAATCAGAGTATGGGCTTTTCGGATATTGGGCTGGGTGCACGGAAATCGAGTTCCCGGAGGTTCCACCCTGTATATTTATAGCTATCAAGAAATTTAATTTAAAATATATGTGTTAGTTTAATAAAGTATAAATATAATATAATGTTAAATAACTTACACTATAAATCTTATACCTGCTCATCTGGTCAAGTGTGGGCAAGGAAAACCATTATCCCACATGGAATAGCACAAGGTTTCGCTGAAAACTACCAGGTTGCTATGCCAAGGACCTAGGTAAACTTATGTTGTGTGTAAAAAATGCGAGACTGCATTATGTTTTAACAAGGACAAAAACTGCACTTCAGATTTCCACAAAAAAAAATCATAGTAGGTGTTAAAATTTCGCAGTGATTCAACTGCGCAACTTGTTTTTTTAATAACATCACCGGGATTAAAAAATGTGCAAAGATTTTTCGATATTCCCGTTCCTGATAATTTTTCACATATTTACAGAAGAAAAAGTTTTTCTTGGATATTGCGCTGGGTGCACGGAAATCGAGTTACCGGAGGTTCCACCCGGTATATTTATAGCTATCAAGAAATGTAATTTAAAATACATTTGTTAGTTTAATAAAGTATACAATTTTATAATAAAATTCTCGCTAAAAACTTAAGGTCTTTTTATTCAAATTCATGCCTCTTATTTGGCTACTTGAAGGCAATTATTTTATCAATATATTATTTTATAATAAATAACAGAGCCCGGCGTAGAGATCTGGGTACGGTTCTGTGACTACCACTTGGACATGTTTGTATCGCCAAGCACAAGGCGTGAAATCCGGCAATTGTGCATTCCTATATTAGCCGTACTGCACTCTCGGTGTGACATTTTCTATAGAAATAATAAAGGAAGCATGGACAATAAATCTTCTACTAAGAGACTCAAGAAAAGAAAGTAACAACATATAAGAAAGAAGAAGCGAAATGTAAAAATTATAGAAGTTGTTTATGGTCAGTTATAATAAAAGAATATATTGGGATAATTGAAAAAAAGGACAAAAAATAAATTAAAAAAAAAACAAGGACTAGAATGTTGGAAGAATACTCTCTATTATAAACTCTTTATATTAAATTATTTAACGCCATTCTAAATGTCTCTTCTCAATCCTTTCTGTCAATATCCTGTAAGTGTTGACATCGATAAATGGCGACGGTGATGATTGTAGTGAGCCCGGACTACATTGTCATCACCAATCACTTATAGTTTCTTCAAAGTACTTTAGCAGACTCAATCTCCAAAATGGGTTTCTCATAAATCGTAGCTATGAACTAGAAAATAAAAACGAGTCAATATAGAGAAAAGTATTTTTTTTTTCTCTGCAAGACAAATAATTTAGAGGAGAGTGGTGCGTGAGTCTTATTAAATAAGGGAGTTTGACAAATTAAAGGTCCCTAAACGTGACGAACGAAAAATATATTGCTGATGGTTCATATGAGAATAAATAAATTGAATAGGAGATCGAGAAAACAGAAAATCGAAGAGATAAATAATATTTTTTCAGTTCTAAAGCTTTACTAAAATATACAGATATAAAACGGAAATATTGTATATATTTTACTTTATTGGACATATTTTATTACATTTAATAAGTAATATTATGAAATTACGTCGCCCAAAATAAAGCAGGTATAAATTGGGGAAATCATTTGTACTATTTTATTGTATATTCAAGGCCAGATGTCGTATGTCACATATAGTAACAGTATATAAATAGTATACAGGGTAATAATTAATAGGCTCTTTAAGTAATATATTAAAATTTAAATTTGTCTCTATACTAAAACAATTTTTAATTGAAGGTGATTACTTGGCAACATCGTACTTAACGATAACTTTTCAACGAAATCGTATTGAAATTATCAATTTTGCAGAGGCGTACCAAAAAAAATTTTTATTATTTACTTAAACACAAGTAATTACGTCAAAATTAAATCTAAGATCGATTTAATTATTAAATTACCATGTCTCTTTTAACAGGTATATTATAGTTGTCCAACAAAATAAAATAAAATTTTATTCCTATTAGAGAGAATACAGAACTTAAAAAAACAGAAAAACTTTGGAAAATATTTTTTTTTTCATTAGACTAAAAACAATCTGCAATTTTAATTACACATCATTACACATCATTCTCTATTTATAGAATTGCTGTGTGCTGTAAACGCTATATTTGTTTTTTTTTTAACTTAATTTGAAAGTGTGCTTGTGTTTATTTGTTTATATAAATATGAAAATATATTATGAAGTTCATATAAAATGAAGTAAGCTAAACTATTATCATACGAATGCGTTTATATAGCAGTGCATTTGTCTATTTCAATAAATTTTCGAAATATGAAATGAAGATGGCACTAACTACTACAGAGTTAATAGCTTTGTTAGAAGAAAACTCAGATTGTGAAAATGCCACCTAATGTGGTTTATTTGCCGCCGAGATTAGATTAGAAAGTTTCTGA